CGCGGCAAAGCAAGCACTACTAACAATTCTCCCAAACCTGCAAGAGAACCCAGAGCAAACCTGGGTATGCTTGAAAGGGCGGGTCCACCAAGTGGCACACATGGCTCTGGGTAGCACAAAGCCAGGAAGGAAAAGGATCAATCGAGAAACGTGGTGGTGGAACGATGAAGTACGAACGGTAATAAAGGGCAAGAGGGATGCATACAGGCGATGGCATCAGTCAAAATCGGAAGCCGATCGTCAGACATACCAACAAGCCAAGCACGCTGCGAAAGCTTCCGTAAAGAAGGCAAAGGCTCCCGCCAGAGTGCCGAAGTTACGCCAGCGCTACGCCAGCATTTCGATCGATACACGTGTATTTCGTTGGGGACGTCGGCTAGCCCCGCCCCAACGAAATACACGTGTATCGATCGAAATGCTGGCGTAGCGCTGGCATAACTTCGGCACTCTGGCGGGAGCCAAAACAGGTGTGCATGAAACAGCTCTACGAGAGACTGGAGTCTCTCGAGGGAGAACGGGACATATACCGAATAGCCAGAAGAAGGGCGGAGTCCACAAAGGATATGGATCACTTCCTCCACATCAAAGACAAACTTGGTAAAACGCTAAGAACACCGGCGGACATCACTGAAAGATGGAGAACCTACTTCGAAGAGATGGCCAACACAAGCCGCAGCGTCAACTCCATCCCAAGAGCTGATCCCGTAGATGGACCAGTACCACCAGTTACGAAAGAGGAGGTATGGCTAGCTATAACGAAAACGAAGAATGGCAAAGCGACTGGTCCAGATGACATACCAAGTGAGTTCTGGAAAGTGTGTGGGCAACCCGGGGCTTCATGGCTATCAGGCCTCCTCAATCAGATCATAAGAAGCAAGAGTCTGCCTCGTGATTGGTACACTAGCACAACGATTCCGATATGGAAGAACAAAGGAGACGTCGCAGACTGTGCATCCTACCGGCCAATCCGACTGATGAGCCACACTCTAAAGATCTTCGAGCGGATAATCGAAACGCGGCTTCGTGATATCATAGAGTTGTCACCAAATCAGTGCGGATTTGTGAAAGGAGTAGGTACAATTGACGCCATCCACTCCGCTCGGATAATGATGGAGAAACATAGAGAGAAGCAAAGGAGTTACACGCAGCCTTCCTGGACTTGGAAAAAGCCTTAGATAAGGTGTCCCATGAAGTCATATGGTGGGCTTTACTGAAGCACATGGTTCCTGAAGAGTACGTCCAGTGGATAAAGTTGATCTACCACAACGCTTCAAGTCACGTACAAACAGCTGCAGGGCAATCGAAAGAGTTCCACATCAAGGTTGGAGTACATCAAGGGTCAGTCCTCTCTCCCTTGCTCTTCATCACCATAATGAACGCCATAACGGAACCACTCAGACGTGAACCTCCTTGGACACTTCTCTACGCAGATGATGTGGTCTTGCTAGGAAGCACCAGAAAGGAGTTGCAAGACGAGGTACAGAAATGGAAAGACAGGTTAGAGTTGTATGGGCTGAAACTCAACACCAAGAAGACGGAGTATATGGAAGTGGGGAAACAGACTCCAGGAACCATATGTATCGATGGTGAAGAGCTAAAGAAGGCAACGCCGTTCAAGTACCTAGGCAGTCACATCTCAGCAGAGGGAGGCTTGCAAGAGGAAGTCGCAGGCAGGATAAACACAGCATGGATGAAATGGAGAGCCTTAACGGGAGTTCTCTGCGACAGACGAATGCCAGTACAGCTCAAGTCCCAACTGTACCGGACCGTCATCCGTCCAGCAGCCCTCTATGGTAGTGAGTGCTGGCCATGTACGCGAAATGAGGAGCGCAAGCTCGGTGTCATGGAGACAAGGATGCTACGATGGACCTTAGGTGTCACACTGAAAGACCACATCTGCAATGACACTATAAGAGCCCGAATGAAAATAGCCCCAATTGCCCAGAAAATGCAGGAAAAGAGACTACGATGGTACGGCCATGTGCGCAGAAGGGAGGAAAGCCACATTACGAGGCTAGCCCTGGCGGTGGAAGCACCAGGCAAGAGACCCAGAGGTAGACCCAAGATGAGGTGGATGGATAAAATCAAGGCCGACCTGCGAGAACTTGGAATAGATGAAGACCTTGCCTCAAATAGGAAGACATGGAGACAACTGACAAGGAAAGCAGACCCTGCATAAGCGGGACCCATGCGAGGATAAAAAAAATTTCACTTAATACAACGCAAAAATTGAAAACCACGGATTTCGCTGAAACTCGCCCAGGGGGGTTATTCGACCTGCTGATTACGAAAATGATGTCCATTTAGCGTGCTGGGGTTTTTGAGGCGTTATGGTAGGCATACGGTATGGGGTCAAAATCTCAGAATTCGCTAAAACTTTGCGTAGGGGGGGGGGGTATTCAACATGATGATCACGAATATCACAATTTTTTCTGCATGAACACCTCGCCCGGTTACGGTAGGTGTACGCTAGGGGGTCAAAACATAGATTTGGCTGGAATTTGGTCTGGAGGGGTTACTTAGCACGCTGAACATGGATATCATATTGATTTTGGACGGTAGCGCCATTTTTCGAGTTACGGTAGGTACACGGTACATGGGCGAAAACTGCAAATTGCTTAAAACGTTGCCTAGAGGGGCTTTCAAGCATGCTGATAACGAATATCAGGCTTGCTCGTTATAGCAACGCTTTGTTGTGGAGTTATGACAAGTTGCAGCGCTTAGGGGAGCATCTTCCCCGCTTTTCAGACCAATTAAGATCCCAAAAATCCACGAGAAGGCCTTCAAGCGAAATGAGCGCAATCTTCGTAATGAGCACATCAGATAACACCCCTGCACAAAGTTTCAGGCAGATCTACGGTTTTACGCCCTTACCATATGTCTACCGTAACCGTACAAGGACCAGGTTTTCGTGCGGGGAAAGTGTGGTAACAAAGTCTTCTTTCTGAATTCTTTATTGGTCCTCGTTCGAGATGGATTACCTGTTTGCAATTTATGCAGTTGACAAGTACAATCTTATATATAAAGCTGAATGTCTGTTTGTATGTCTGTCTGTCTGTCTGTATGTCTGTGTGTACGTATGTTCCGAATAGAAAATTCCATTTCGCATTGACGTTACCCTACTTGCTGCCAACCCTCCTCCCCTGCGAAATCGGGAGAGTGGGTGTAGAAATCTACTCACCGAGAGTATCACTTGCAATAGTGTGTATCTGCTGCAGAAAGTGCTCGATGGACTGCGATGTCGAAACATGCTTTTGGAACTGTATGAACTGCACACGGCAAGCTGTAGGGCATTCGAAAAATCGTGACGATGGCGCCCCGCGCGCGACACGCATGCACCTTCCGGCAGCCGCATTTTCTTGGTTATAAGCTCTTCTCGATTGGTTTTTCTGCTTAGGTATGACAGTACTCGAACTGGAAGTGATGCCTTTTTCAAGAGGGTGTTATGCTTCCTGTGGGCGCAAAGACCGCAGTCAAATCCATTTGTCACGATTTCATGAATGGACCTTATAGTACAAGCAAAGCACGAGAGGACCTTGTCTTTGCGAACATGCCACGAGATACACAACTTTAAACTGGTGTCGTTAATAAGAAACGCCAGAGCATAAAAAGCCACTAAGTGGACGTAGAAAATCCTAACATAGCGGATAATTTTGCCGTCAAGTGCAAAACATTGCCCTTTGAAAATCAAAACTCTGTACGAAAAGCTTAAAAGCGTCCTATATACTTGGCCGGATCCGAAAAATGAATGACAGGAATGAAAAGCTAATCATCACAAGTGCATTACTGCTGTTCTTGCTTTATGCGAACTATGCAAGATAGACTGTCTTTACTCGAAGGTAGTGTTCGGGTAAAAACCTAATATCTAGCTTAATCGCTTATCGGGCTGATCCGCGATGCTGAAAAAATTTCATCATAAAACGCGAGGACAGCGAAAACAGGCGTTTTTGAAAGCTTCTCGATTTGGATTTGGATGAGTGGAGCAGTTCCCGCAAGGTTGAAACGCAAGTCGTTGGTACTCTACGACTTTGACTGTGGCAGCATGCGTACTTTGCCACGGATGCGGGGCAGGAGGAACCAACATCTGCCGCTCCTGTAACACTTTGAAAAGCAATTGATGATTCCAAAGTGTCTTCATTATCTGCCAAACGCTTTTGGGCGCCGAGTTATGAGCGTTTATGGCTGAAAAATTCAATTATCAAAAATCAAACTCGAATATAATTTGTCCATCAAATAATTCAGCGTAAATTATCAGAGCACTTCATTCAGTAAGTAACTTCTATCTAAAACCCTCATACTCGACACTGTTCTACTTGAGCGCTGAAAAAACCGTAACAATTGATTAACTAGATTTTCATTTCTTGCTCCACGACCACCCTCATTACTCGCCGTCCAGAGGCGCTTGGCAGATAATGAAAACCGATTTGGAAGCAGCATTCAAATCTCTCCAAAGAGGTAGAGGAGTCATCCGAAAAGGCCACTTCGTGTAAACGGACCTCCTTTGTTAGCAAAATATGCATGTTTGACAGAACGTCGGACCTCCCTAGAAAATGCTAGAAAAATAGGGAAAAATTTTGCTCTTTTGTATTACGGAGGAAATGAAGTGGCAGACCCTTTGGCAGAAATTCCTCTACACGTCCGAAGCATAAAATTTATGTAGTTTCATTTTTATTCAAAAACTATTGGAATAAAAATTTGACAGTGAAGAAAACTGCATAGTTCGATTGGGCAAATATATCTCAGCACCAGAACACGATGAGTTCAAAGGCCTATTGAACATATACAGATTGATTACTAAAGCGAGATGATGTTTCAATTATGTCTTTCGAAAACAAAGAACACGTAACTATACATAGAATAATTTTAAAGCAGTAGGGAAAGGTATTTAGGACACAGAACGTAAAAGTTATAGTATTTGAGGTCACACATAAATTGCATCTCTTGATGTAGATGAAAGCGAGTCAGAGTGCAGTATAGTGGAAGAAAGAGTATGCTCTCGCTTACAATACTGTGCAACAGTCCATTAGTCGACGTTGTTGAGCCAGAGCTTGCCCTCGTTTTTTCGTTAACTGCAATATGGCCTGAACATAGGGGGCAGAATCGCACAGAACATTAGATTGATTCCCACCTCAGTATTTTCTTCCTTTATTATTACAGCTGGAAGTGGAGGCAGCTCTTTAGTTAGGGTAAGGTCTGTTACTTTATTTTCATCCTTTACCATTCCATTTGCTTCCTTCACAACAGGCGTGGTAACCTCAGTCTTAACAATATAAAAAATCAGCAAGATCAATAAAAGACAGAAGTAATGTCCATGCCAGACTATGGGTCATTTTTCAATGTTGCATGAAAGTTGCCTCTCCCCCTCTCTTCCACCCCTTTTCGTAAGCGACGCACAAAATGCGGAGGTTAAATCTTGGGCAGGAAGCAAAGAAATCGTCGCGAAAATTTCGCAATGATTCGCCTAACCATGGTTGACTGACGACGCGGTCAAAAACGCAAAAGCTCGCTCCGGTGTAAATCATGTAACAAAGACCAAGAAAGCCGTAGCTGTATTTTTAGGCGCTAAACTGAATACATATACTGAAAGAGAACAAGACAGAAAGAGCAAGAGCGTGTGCGCACCTTTGGCACGAGTCAATATCTTAGCAAAAAAAAGAAATTCACATATTTGAAATACAACACATGGAAATAACGCGAGATGAAAAGTACCTACGTACCTTTGCTTTCTCTTCAAGCTTCTCCATCTCATGCAGGACACTGTGTGCCTCTGATACATCCAGGTCTACACTTGTCTTTTGCGAAGATGCCGATTTGGGTAGAACAGATCCGCTGGCAACAACGAATGCTTTTTCCCAAGACTCGCTGGCCTGAAAAGAAAAAGATCAACGCCTTGTTATTACTAAACACTCACAAGGGAGGTTGCGAAGTCGCAGTGGCCGATCACCACAAACCGCATCGTAGTGAGAGCCTGGAACGCTGATTTCAATTTGCTTTCCTTGTATGCAGAGCGCCCTGCGAAAGAAGTGTAAGCATTTTCTGAGGCGAAAAGTAAACTAATGGTAGGGGTAAGATCGATCGATGCCGCCTTTCTCAATTTCACATAGGTATAGAGGGTGCTGTTATACTATACAGAGAGAATTCATTGCATGAAGTATCCTGATATTTGCCACTGCTTCACTTGAAATCTAGAGAGGCTGTAGCGATTGATATCATCCAAACTATTAGTTCATTTTCTTACCACAAAAATTGCTCTACCTTCTTTCCTAGAGAAGCTCTGCAGATATAAGGCAGATTTGAAATAAGCACTTCAACTCCTTTTCAACGTTTTGCATCTTGTGGTGATCGCCACTTCATCTTCGCGACCCTCCCTCGTCAGACCATGTGTCCGTAAGTATAGGGGGCGTGTAAACGATCAGTAGTGAATCTCAGTGTTTTCAGTGACAAACCGTGAGTTTGGGTCCATGCTCCTTGTGTGGAATCACATCAACAACAACTGTGCTAGTGACTAAACTGTTATCCTTGTCACAAATCTTTGCAACAGCCTGTGAATAAAGAGACAAGAAGATACAGAACAGAGAAGATACATGCATTACAGGTGAGACTAGAATTAGGGAACTGCACACGAAATTACAAGATTACCTGCGCTACTGGTTCAGACGGCTCAATTGTCACTGTCACCATTTCATTCAATGCCGGTGCTGAAAATATTCCATCTTTAGTTGGTCATATATCCTCTCGGTGGCGAGAAGAAAGAAAAAACCTAAATGTAGTAACACATAACGTATAAATATTATTTGTGAACGGAATTACGAAAGTAATAAAGAATAAATTTTTCCAACATATAATATGGTCCAATTTCTAACATATTTAATTTCCGCCATCTTGCTTCATTGCGAGAATTCAAGGATTATAAATTTGAAGACTAAGCACCATCTTTATTCAATACAATTTCCTCGTCCTCTTTGTTTTATTTACATCCTCACAGATCCGGATCCCCAGCTGGAACAGAGGCCGCCACCAGAGGCGGACCGAGGGGGAAGCACGCGCCCGCAAATGGATGGTGGTGAAGTTGTTGAAAGTTACTTACAGTGTAAGTGCAAGTGACTTGGTAAAACTTGTCAATAATTAAAATAATTTTTTACATTTTCCAAAAGTCAAATTTTTGTAAGAATTCCAGACAATTTATCACAGTGCGTGGCTGGCGCCAAGCTTCTTCATTCGAAAAAATTTTTGTCGCCCCCTCCTCTGACCAGAAATCCTGAAACCCACTGGCTCCCACCTAATGGTAACTATCCTAATTTCACGAATACAGGATGATTTTTCATTCGATCAGCCTGAACACACCGAAATTTTCGCGACCAAAAGACCCTACACAGTGCTGCGTATTGCCTGAGAGTATCGTGCGGCATAAGTTTCGTTTTCCTAAACGCAGCGACGCGATTGAGCGGCTCGCTTAGAAAATCGAAAAAAGTGCGTCTTGTATTCGTGAAATTAGGGTGATAACTTCAATCGTATACCTGAGAGACGTCCCATTTAAGCAACAAGAGAATACCAGGTATACAAGAATAGCATGAGGATGTGTAACAACTAATCATGATAAGGATGAAATTTGCGCTAAGTTTTGTAGAGACACGACTCCAAGGAATGACAGACTTTCCTACCTTCTTGATTAAGTTCCACCCAAGATGTCACTTTTTCGATAACTTTCATTTCGTTACTCTGAAATGAAAAGTGTATGCAAATAAATGTGTCATCCTTAAGTCAAAGATACCCACTTCTTCTATTTCTTCCACTGCCTCATGGTCACCTGCCTTCACTTCTTCTACCGCTTGTTCAAACACATCTGTACAATCCTTGCAGACAAGCAAGGACTTCTTCTCAAGCTCATTCTCCAGTTTATCTACAGTTTCCGACACATGGGAATGCGGTGGCATCGTTACCTCCTCTTCTACAAACGGCTCTTCCCCACTTGAGGAATGTTCCAAATCGCTGACCAGCTCTGCGGCGTCTCCTTTTTCCGGATGGTCATCTTCGTCTAAGAGGTTGACCTTCCCATCGGCTTGCTCTCTTCGAAGATGCTCAAACATCTCTACTTTCTCCTTCACATCGACATCAGCATCCATTTCAATCTCCACGCTAGGAAGTTCTGGCTCTTCTTTCTCTTCACTTGCTTCAAACACCAATCTTCGTTCCTTGACTGGTGTGCCTTGCGGAATGTATGTGTCACTTTCTTCAGCAGATTCTTCTATGTTCGGGTCGGACATAGCAGATTTAAGCACCTTTTGCTCGTCAACAATATATTCTTCCCCCAAATCATTGCTTATGGTATCAGCCATGCTGTACAGCTCCTCACTTCTCAAATCATCAGGTTCTTCCACTACAACATTTACTATGGTCTGCGCATCAGCGTCCTCGCTGTCCTCACTAGGTACATCTTCGAGTTCGGTAATTGATTCAACATCTGGCAAAACTTCCAAGTCTTCGTTTACCGCTTCATTTGTTTCATCTACGTCAAGTTTCTCTTCTACTTCTACGTCTTTCTTAATCGCTTCCTCCTCTGGCTCAGTGATGACAATTTCTGGTACTGGGTTGCCTTCTGTGGGCAAACCTTCTTCCGTGGGCATGTCTTGAGCCAGTTCTTGAATGATTACCTCTGCCGCTTCTTCTGACAAAAGGTCCGCTGAATCCTCGATATCATCACCTCCTGATTCGGATGGAACTCCGTATGGCCGTTCGTCTTCCTGCACTTTTTCTTGGGGCTCAACCTCTGCAGGTTCTTCGGATAAAAGCTCTCCTGAGTCCTCCACATGATCACTACCGGATTCGGATGGAACTTCGTAGCGCCGCTCGTCTTCGTGTGGAACTTGTTCCACGGGCTCTTCAGCAACTTCTTCCTTATCTTCTGCTTCTTCAAAAGAGTCGACGGGGGAAGGTTTATCCTCATGTTCCGCTTGCTCCGATTGCGCCAGGACATCTTTGTCCGTAGGGTCCTTATGCTCCTGGAATGGCAGATGTTACTGTCGGTACAATGGTGTTCCATCCACCTACCGTATACTCCGTCTCGCTTTGCACCACAGGATCGTTATCATCGCATAGAGTAATTTCATGGGTGCGACATGGGGTACTATTCAGAGCCGATCTTTCGCATGTGACGTCAAGTGAGATGTCGCTTTCCGGTGACTAAACAGGAAGGAAACTCTATACAGCAACACAAGAGTCCACAGCGACCGCTCACCCTATCATCTCCAGTAACGTAATCAAATTCTCCGCTAGTTTCGAATGTTTGATTCACCGACACAAAGGATGTATGGCCAGAATCTGGTGTTCGGAACATCTCACGTGAAGAAGGCTAAAAGATGTACAAAACTTTGCGAACATTCTTTTCCAGTGATTACATCGGATGAACAAGCAGAAGATAAAAAACATGATATCATTCCAACCCAAAAGAATATGATCATAACAAAAAAATAACCGAAGAGTCAATTAACCTTCGACGCTTCGTCAACAGCCGAAGCGGAACTTCGACTTGTGGGTGGCGTGCGTTCTCCAGAAGATGTTTTACTGTCGTCGTTATCGACCTCATCTTTTCGTAGTTGTTCCACGATGTTTTGATCGCCATCCTGAATAGAATAAATATATCAAAAAATTACGAAGATATAAACAAATCATAATTCGAACTGAGTTTGGATATGAAAAGAAGTCACCCCTATTAGATCAGACTGAACTTCTTCAGAAACGATCGACACCATGGGTGAGAGTTCGCGATCTGTAATCGGTTATTTTTTCCTGGTTAATAAACTATAAACCTGAATGTCTCTATTTCCAAGAAAAAAGTTCACAGCAGAGCAAGATTTCGGGAAACTCTGTTTGATATCTGACAGCAATTTACGGCATACAATTAGCATCGTTTACCAAAATGGCGTTATTTCAGGAGCAGAGTGAAATTATGGAAGCGAGGGAACAGGGCCCAGCACGAGGTGGCATTTGGGAATCTTAGAAACGAAGTCCCCTTTGACACTGCAGAAATTTACGAATAACCTTTTGTGGATCTGTGGAAGTACGGCTTATGATATGCAGCGAATGATAAGTGGATAAAATTGAGATAAAACCAGAAAATTAGGATAAAACAACAGAAGGCGAAAAAAGGAGAAGGATTTTATATCGTCAAGTGCCGTAGGAAAGCAGTGCGATCAAAACTTGGGCTAAAGTGAGTACTCATAGATAGAGCTCTTAAGCTGAAGAACAGACTTATGTAAGAATTTTCGGAAAATTATGTGAGAAAGTGGGTAAATTATGACTTTGTTTGGTCTCGCGCAACCTCAGGGTGCTTCCAGATTGCGCGGGAGCAACCTAAAATAGAAAAACACGACTTCATTCATTTACATAATTTTTTCATAATTTTTCATATTTACCTTCCTCATCGTCGCGAAGCTATATACCAATTTTGATGGCTCAATATTACTTAGTCGTTGTAAACAAAACTTGTTTATCTTTATGTGCCTAAAGATCATGTTCTAACACTTGAGAGCTGTGGAAACACAAGTTGGTGCACTGATCGTGTTTGTAACATGTTAATTGACCTGTTAGTGGTTGAATGACATTAGAGCCTCGAATTCGGGCTTACTATGTGTGAGAAATGTGCTTGCTATCCTATCAGATCAGGAATCCCCTTTGAGAAATTAACGATTTCTCGTTTGCTTCTCCCCCAGAAAACGATATCCAGCGTGTGAAAGCGCCACCTCTGCTGAGCCCTGCGAGTTAAATGATGTGGTTTTTGGAAATACCAGAATCGGATATCGGATTATAAGAAAGTATAGAAAGACATTTCCGTCAGAACTACACAAATAGCATGTCGAAACTTAGGCATTGCAGGAAATCAAATAATCACAACTCAAAAATCTAGCAATGGTGATTTTTATTCATGGACGCTTTCCTTTAGCTCAAGATCGGAGTTTTCTATATACGATTTCCTGAGCCGCTCTCACTCCGTCTCATGGTCAAACTCCAATTTTAGATAGGTTTCTTTCTCTTGGACTTAACGTCAAAAGTCGTGCAAATTTGTTGTAATCGTAGTTAAATCGTAATTCTAAGACTACCCTCAATATGTAACCTATAAGAGGATGGTTATTACAGGTTGAACTTCACCAGCGCTCAAGTTCAGTGAGTAGATATATTTGAAGCAAAGGTTCCTCACGAAAGCCACATTTACAAAACCGTACGAACACTTATTATTCTCAAGGAACACTGCACTACTGCTGGGAAGTTCATATGTCTTGCATTCTCACGCACCTTTGGGAAGTGGCTGCAGTGCTATAGGACTAGGAGTTTTGGAGTTCGATATGAATGAAGTTGTCGGACGGATGATCTGTCCACGGCTGTCGAGAACTTCCACTACTGGCGATAGATAAGTTGTGAGCAACTCGTTCCTGAACGTAATCAGATCTTTCCAGGGAATTCAAAGCCTACCATGCAAAATATACTTCGTCATATTGATAGTGCCACACATATTGTTCAACTCATCAGCAACCAACTGACGGCCTGTCTCTTTCCTAAAATATTGCATTACCTAAACTTCACTAAATCAAATAAAAGGTCAGACCTGTACTGGTTCCTAATAGCATTCCAATTGACAGATCCATCTTGCGAAATTGCAGAAAGTCGTCGGACAATGTGGCAAAAGATTATGAAGCCTTCCTAAGCAAAGCAAAACTTCACAAGTTGACAGTCTCAAGAATCTTAATTTACGCACAGTCCTTGGATTGAAGCGCGGTGTACCACCATCCGGCGTCCCTCCGCGCGAGCTAGACTGGCTTTTCGATCTAGCGGTTCTTTTCTTTAACGTACCCGTTTTGCGAGCATGATCAACGTGAAGAGCATATCTGTAGACAAACTATTACAAACAACCAATTATAGAAAATATGTAGGTGTTAAGAGTGATGCAAGAAAATACTTCGCTAAATTTGGCTAGAGTACGGTTCAACTAAGGAATGAATATATAGAAAAGAACAGAAATGTGTTTAGGAAGTACTTACTTGGGAAGACTGTTTTCGTCACTGCCGTGGACAGGTTTCACCGCTCGAGAGCAACGTTCCATAATGAAATGCCTACAAAAAGGTATTGAAAAAAATAATTGAACAAATCCTTGATGGAATTCCAAACAGAAACATAGTTGTAAATAAGCCTACAAGGGAATGGTCAGAAATCAAAGTGACCAATCCGCACAATCTGCATAGCATTAAATGCAGCTTAAAACGCTGACTTTGAATTTTATTCCATATCTGCTTAGCGCCTATGTGGGCGTAGCCATGAGCCGTGGAAGGCCGTCATTTTGTTAAGAAATCGTGCATGCGAAGTGGAAATTTGGCACTCGAGAGCCATGTTCGGCTTAAGGCTGGGTCAAAACATGCAGCTGATTTACTTTACATCTTAAAGCCTAAAAGTTGAAAGTGCAACAATGTGCTCAATTTCGCAATTATTTGTACGATTTCACGCAATAAAACTGCTCATAATTTCGTCCACAAATGCGCTAACCAGATATAAAATGCTTCGAAATCAGCGTTGAATGCTGCATCGAATGGTAGGCAGCTTGCTTGGATTGGCCTCTTCGACTTTGGACCATTCCCTTGTTAGATGTTATTTTCTTGTTTTGCCATAATCTTCAGCAAGAAATAAATTCACATAAATGACTATCAAAAGATAATAATAAAGCTGATTTTGTTAAAGAACATTGTGAAGCTGCTTTGGTATAAATTTATTTGACCATCAACACTCACGCATCCTACTAACCTGCCTTCGAAAACATATCAATAATCACCTGAATGCCTCAAGATTTAAGTTAGTCGCTTTTGCTCCACCACAGCGCTCAAAAAGTTCTTGTAGAGATAGCGGTTCTCCTTCGGCTTTGCGAAGCTCATCGATGACGTTCTTTCGTAACTGATCAACACTCATTCCCTGTGAAAAGGGCAATAGAGTGAAAAATAAAAACGACAACGATTGTTTCGAACCCTTCGAACTGTAAAAAAAAACTTGGCAACTAATGCGTTGAATTTCGAGAACATTTTCAGGATAAGAGAAATGATGACTGCATTACACTGACACATTTCCATAATTCCTTTTGTTTTGTTTTTCAACGTTGTTTGCTGATATGTTGTTGGTTAATTATACATAGGGAGTTTATTATACGATGAAAAATGAATAAATTTCTAGTCCAGAGCAAAATTATCGCGACAGACGGATAAGGCAGATAAGTACCACAAACCGACTGTCACGATTAGCTAACTTGAGGTCCATTTCCTTTCTTTTTCACTAAAAGATTAGAGTGAGTCCGAATAGGCTTCACGCTTGACAAATATGAGAAAAAAGTTAATTCGACCACTCCTCCACTTGAGGGTAACTCTAACAAATTACTTTCCAAAACCAAATAACGTGCTACAGTTTCTTCTTATTAAACGAAAAGAAAAGACAACAAAACGAAAGACTTTAAATTCAAATATGGAAGAGATACTCTGATTGGAAAGTAGCAACAAAGCGCGTGGCGAAAAACCACAACAGTCCTAAGGAGATTTATCTCGTACCATTGATGTCCGGCTCACGGCAGGTCAAAATCGACAACTCTTAATGTTGGACACTGTCACTTCATCATATGTTGTAAAACAGTTAGATGATCAAACGGTAGTCCATCTGCCCCAGTGAATTCCGTGGAACGAAAGATTCATCAGCTTGTAGTTTTATTGAGCCTATCTTCACCACAGCTGGTCCAAAAATAAGTAAAAAATGATGGTTCCTTGTCCTTGCCCCAGTAGAAACGTGGAGGACGTTCAAAAAACAAAAAAGAAAAAGAAAGAGATATAAGAAGTACAAATGCAAAGAAATGTTGGAAACCGAACAATGCAGTAAGTTTGAAACCTTGGCTTTGCCGGTGCTCGGTTTGCACTCGCTTCGGAACCCCTGTTCGGAAAGTAACGGGAAAGCCACCCCGGAAAGTAAAGTATCCTTCGAGGATATTCTTGAAATATACGTTGTTAGCAAAATACTAACAGAGAAGGAATAGTAAACATAACAGGGAATCTTTTCTCGGAAGACGAGGTGCTCGTCAAAACCATCTTATTTCAATGCGTCCTTTGAATTTCTCGCTGGTCCTGGAACGACATGCAGCAATTGCACAAAAGGACCACTTGGCCGCGAAAAGTGGCGGTCTTCGTTCCCCTACCCTGTCGAAAGAAGTAAGGTCTACCAAATGCATGAGAAAACCACTTCGCCCGCTATAAGTGATTCTACAAATTTGGTTATAAAACTAGCGTCGTAATTTTCTCGAAGTGGGTAAGAGTAAGAAAAGTTGCTCGTTGCTCACAAAAACCGTACTTACTTTCGAAGAAGGATATCTAAAATAACCTTGAGATAGCGAGTGCACATGTAAAGTACAATATTCATGGCTGTAGCCTTATTGCTGTCAAAATGTTGTGTGACGTATTGCAAGATAAACGGGGAGTTAGGGGAAGAGGATTGTAAAAGAGGATCGTCCGTCAGAACCTGTGCTTGACCCTTGGCAATAAATGAATTGTTACAGTGAGACAAATATTCAATGTGAAGAGTGAAGAGCGATAAACAAACATTTGTTTTCCCAAGTAAGAAGCAGAGCAGATAAAACATTTCTCAGAGAAATTTGTAGGGTGATATTGGACCAACAGTATGTCGGACGAAAATTTACAGGTGAAAAATTCGACAAAATTCTTTCTATTTTCCCGGCACTCATTGGAATTTTCTTGTGAAGAGAAGATCGATTTGTTTAGTTTATGGCCATTTTCGCTTGAAACGCAATTCCTGCAATTTTCAGCCCAAAGTCTTTTTTCGAGTTTCCAGAAAGACAGAGATAAAACATAGCCAGGATTGTACATTCACTTTTCACCCAAAGCAGAAGTCGACTAAATTCACAGCCAATTCAGATACGCAGCAGAAGATGGATGGTTGCCAATTTTCCATCAATAGTACACATTTTTTTCGGCGGATGAAGAGTACTTTCCATCGAGCAGAAGTACAAGATTTAAAAAAGCGAATTAAAACCACTACTGCAGCGAGAGTGTTGGGAACCTCAAACAGCTTAGCAATATATCTCAACTTTTGAAATTAATCAAGCCGTTTACACTTTATGGTCATTCCAAAGATTCTCGCGGCTTCTCTTGAAAAATTCCCGAATTTTTGCTGTTTTACTAAATTTACGCGATACAAATTTTCAGAAAAAAAATTGGGAATTTTTTAATGCACCAATGGTCATCTGTTAAAGGGTGGATTTAGAAACATATCCTGAAGAAGATTAGTGGAGCTCTGCAATTCCTGAAGTTGAATTGCCAAGAAAATCTTTAAGATAATTCATCTTATAGTGCATTTTTCATGGAATCTACAATTCTATTATCTCTGACTTTCCATAAATATCTACTGTAGAATACGATAGGTATAAATGTTCAGATAAGCTGTTTTGAATAACCTACGTTTACTTTTAATGTTTTTGCAAAAAAATGTGATTGGAGCAATTTCATCTACATATCGTAGACAACTTTATTCGTCGACAGGGAGTGCTGGAATTCTTGGTGATGTTTCATCAGTGATTTTAATTTGGATTTTAAATTTCGTATATCTGACTTTCTTCCCCCTCCCCTCCTTTCTCATTGAAATACCATAGTGCGACTTAAACGTGAGAAACCAGTGCTTTTTGTGCAGATTTTACGAAGATTACCAGAAAACTGAGACAGCCTTTAAGATAATTTTTGATACAATCGTATTTTTATCGGTTAGGGGAGGTCTGAAATTGATTTTTCTGGAAGTTTAGGTGTGAGGTCCTAATAAAGCCTTCAAACAAGATAAAAAGTAATGAAGACAGTACAAGGTTCCCAGTCAGTTTGAAAGCACATTAAATGACATGATTGGCAGCGGAAATGTTCCATTTGAAAAAAGAGACAACTAAACGTTGCAAGAAATCGTAACGATCGCGGTCGCATTGGGGGTGCGTGCCATGAACAGATGAAAACGTGCGATAAAAACAACAAATCGCTCGAAACTCTACAGAAATTCCATTGCGCGGACTGCGTGAAAAGGGCGGATGTGGTGTCGCGAGAGATCGTGCAACTAATATATGGCGAAAAAACAGCTGCTCTGGACACTTTCTATTACGAGCACAAGGAAAATTGCTTGCAGAACTTCACTCCAGAAAAAAACTGTGTAAGTTCCTTAATATCACATCGGAATCAACCCGTTTATTTGTGCCTATTTTGTAACGATTCAAACTCTTTTGTATGTTGGTGTGTCTCTATTTACGAAATTTTGGTCACACCTTCAAAGCCCCACTCCGAGAATGAAGCAATTTTCGAAAGTCATCCAGATAATGAACTGAAAAAAATTTTCGTTGAATTTTGCGCATGAATTATTACATGTTGCTGTCATTAGTCAAAACTATAGAACTCAGTTTAGCATTAGGTTGTAACTTTACGAGCCAGAAGTGAGGGGTGCTGCACTATCAACTGACTTCGGACCATAATTTTTGTGATTACAGGAGAATATTGAGCTAAAAAGAAAACTAGCACTAATTTTTTTGTATGTACGCGAGATCATTTCTAAATCAAAACCAACACTTGGAAATATTGAGAATGCAGGTCTTGATATTAATTATAAGAGAAATGGAGAAGTTACGATACACATAGAAAGCTTCATCTCGTAAGATGGCTTGCGATATGTAATATCGTAGTGCTGAAGGAGAAAAGGCTCATTCTCACCTTGGAAATGTTGACGCATTTTGAACAAGAAGCTCAACGAAAACATGAACTGGAGGATATTGAGAAAAGCGAAAGTGGTTTGAAATATTCAGATGATTTACCCTTATCAACCATTCCTGTCTTATATAAGTTTGCCAAAACTTTCACAGGAGTTCCAACTTCAGTTTGATAGCGGTAGGGAAGAAATATTAAACTAAATTTTGTTTGATTGGAATCCAACAAAAACTCCACAGGATCCGAGGAAGGAATCTGCTGGTGGAAGTATCTTAAGCAAAGACGCAAACAGACTAGAAGCCATGGCCAAAAGCAAATCCATGTAAAAACTTTGCACGATTTTTTCTCTGGCTGAAACAATGAAGGAACAACAGTCACGCGCTGGAGGTGCAAGAGACACACAAGTTTGTACAAGCTGAGTTTGATAGGGACGAGAGCTTGGGCAAACAGCGCCCCACTTCTCATCTGCTCAACGAAGCGCTTACGACGGCGGAAGTGTCAGAAATCTGCTCTCAGGCAATAGGTCAGCTAATCGTGTCGTTCGAAGGTTTTTCTCGGAACTACAACGAGTGCGGGGTGATATTTTGCGAGTTGGATAGTGCTACTCACGGTTGTATGTAAATGAGCAGCGTAGACTAGTTTCACCCGTAATCCTCAGCTGTGATATACTCGACACGGGGTACTTTGATAGTATACAAGGTCTTTCCCTGCTAAAAATTGCAGACATGTCGGCGGAATTACAAAATCAATATAATATAATGTTGTTTTGACATGTGATGATAAATGTGGAAACTTGAAGCTGTCAAAATCGAAGCTTTCTCCTGAAATCACTTTAGGCATTTGCTACGTTAGCAGTTTCAAAAATATAAATCCTAGATTTTCAAATGAAAATGAAAGAAAGTGAAATCATACTTGATTGGAATCTCTACTTTTCTTTCTTCCACTATACGGAAAGAATTGGGCAAACGTTTTAGCGGTTTTCGCGGAACTCATCGTCAGTAGTGAAGGAAATCGTAGGTACGGGAGCACATCTCAAGATTCCATAGTATTGGTTCTATCATTACAGTAACCTCAGCATGGGTAATTAAACCTTGGTGGTGATCCCGGAGGCATTCAAACCAGTTGTTTTGATCATTGGATAGTTTGTCACGGAAGACACCACTTGCAAATACTTCCATTTTCTAAAACCGGCTGCAATCCTACTAAAGTCATTTTTCCTTGCCGCTTTATTATAGAAAACAATTTTCTCAAAAAAGCGAGGTAAGCCTTATATCCCTCACTTCTTCAAAAATTCTATTAAATTTTTGATTCAGTTTTCAAGATCCTCTTATGACGCTAAAAGTGGTATTGCAGCAGGCAATCAAAATAAAGTTCATACTATGTCTGCGAAAATCCATTTCTGTTGCTACACGTACTGGAAAACCCGTAGTTTTGTTGAGCATTGCCTCTTTTTCGGGCAAGCATGTATCAACGTAACCAGCTAACACCAAATTAGCTAAAATAGTAGTGGTTCTTGAAAATTACTCTGAGTTATACAATGTTTTCGACTCCACTCTTATAGCCGTCTTCGATCGGTTCATAGGTGAACTAATGTTATCCCATCCTACTCAATTCCGACAAAGAACCTGTTCTTATCGTCATCGCATAGCAATCGCATGAACATACACGAATTCATATTAATTTGCTTATTGTTCGTGCCTTCGACAACAGCTCAACCTACAGCTGCTGATCTTGGTAAGTTCATTATTTTTTGTTGGCCAACAGTATATTTCATTCTATTAGGTTGTCTGGAAATTAATGTCCGTTTTGAATTTCAACCGCAATAAGTCATACACTTCTCATTTTTAAATAGGTTGCAAAGTACCATTCGATAGAGCAAAGCAAGCCCTACAAGGTGGCTATCTTGCTTTAGCAACAGCTCTGATCCACCTCGAGTTTCGAGCCAAAAACTAAAAAGACTAAACTGCCCGAAAATCGAAAAAAAATCGTAACTCAGCTCATAAAAATCCTACAAAAATTCTTACCTGCTCACGTAAACACTATTCATATAAGACATCTATATACGCCTTTGCCGTATTTTTTCCTCTGTTAGCAATCAAGAAAACGGAAATTTTCGTGCATTCGCCAAAGTGATGCTGTGCCGTCCCCACACAGGTAGAGTTGTACAGTACAAACCTGTAGAAGTACAAACGTAAATTCTCAGCTCTCTATAAGCTTTAGTTCTCGAGAAATTTGAATTTTAGCTTGGACCTTCTAACTTGGGAAAGCTATATTCGATATTTCTCGAGAACTAAGGTTTGCACAGAGTTGAAAATTTACCTTTGTACTTCTACTGGTTTGTAGTATACAACTACCTATGTGGGGACGGCACAGCATCACTTTGGCAAATGCACGAAAATTTCCGTTTTCTTGATTTCTAACAGAGGAAGAAATACGGCAAAGGCGTATATAGATGTGTTGTGTAGACAGCGTTTACGAGGGTAAGTTAGAATTTTTGTAGGATTTTTATGAAATGAGTTACGATTTTTCTCGATTTTTCGCGCAGTTGAATCTTTTTTGTTTTTGGCTTGAAGCTCGAGATGGATCAGAGCTGTCGCTAAAGCAAGATTACCATCTTGTAGAGGATGCTTTGCTCTATCGAATAGCACTTTGCATACTATCTAGAAATGAGAAGTGTATCACTTGTTGCGGTTGAAATTCAAAACGGACATTAATTTCCGGACAACCTAATATATTAGGTTGTCCCGAAAGTTTTGTCGGTTTTTTCAAACCACTGTAAAACCACGCACAATAAACAACTGAATGAGTTTCAACATGCATTCGATGCAGCTTTTTCTTCTCTTTCTTATGGATACATTCCCGAGCCGCAATCTTGTACGCTTTTCTCGATATTTGTTATAATTCTCCATCCGCCAATTTTATCTGCTCAAAGTTCGGCTGATTTTAAAAATTTCATTCTTAAATTTCTAAATTGGTTAGGTACGATTCTAAGAGAGCAACTCTCGGATTACAAAGTGATACTTTTAGATTCCCCCAATCTGCTGTTTTTACTCGAAAAAAATTATTCTTAAGAGGTCTCAATTTTTGGCAAAGTCATGAAACACGCAACTGCAGCAGATACACGGAAGTTGTCAAAGTTTCTGCGAATTGAAAAATGATTCTTATCAAACATCATTTATGCAACATGACCAAGTTTGATTTACCTTGAAAAAGCAGCTTTTTGGAATTTTCGGTACTTTTGCGTGGTAAACGTGATCAAAAGCTTGCGGTTTTTATTAAATTATTAATTATAACGGACTTGGTAAACGTGGCCCATGCAGTCTTAGATGAACAAAATGTAGCCAAAGATTTGCTCTACATAACAGTTACCAGCGCTCTTTGAAAACATCAGGATAAAAAATTTTAAAATTCAGAAAAGATTTGGCGTCACTCTGAGCTGCTCAAAAATCCATGGCGATAACATTGCAAAGACAGGGTAGATCAAGAAAATATAGCTGTGTGAAAGAGGATAAAAATCTAAATCAAATGGTGCTCAGCTTGCCCATGGATTGGTGTTCTGTGAGTTTCGGTGATCGATGAAAGAAACCGACAAAACTTTCGGGACAACCTAATATTAAGAATTCCCATAAATTTCTGTGATTTAATTGGTCTATCTATCTTTTGACTTTTATTTCCAACAAAACTAGGTTGCTGTGACCATGTAGATATATATATATATTATAATTGTTGCTTCATCACACCATGTATTAGGTTGGCCAGAGAATGGTTTTGTTTCTTTTATGCAAATTTTCATAAAATTTTACTTGTTCCTTTTTGCCCATGTCTAAGGAGGCGTAGCCCAAAGCTTCTACTTTCACCTGTCAGTTGCCGATCATTTCCTACATCAGTAAAGGACGTTACGTTACGCCCCAATATGGTTAACTTTCCAAAAGCACAGTTCTTTGTATTTCTAAGCTTCGTTTTCATCTATGTTATGTAGAGATGAGAAATGTGCGCAACTGTTCTCTATCTAGCCAACACCAGAAATTGTGATTTGCCGTCTGTAATATTTTGCGTAGAAAAACGAAATCTCCTCGCATTTACTAGCGATGGGAAAATGTGGGTATTCTACTTCTTTGCGCCTTTGTATAGGGAAAACATTTCCTGACAAACAAAATCTACATTTTAATTCTCATTGAAATGCTCTTTTCAGATACAACAAACACTGGACAAAAATCTGTCTGCAACATTTGTAGAAGCAGCAAAAGCGATTAGTATATTTAAGCCAACCATATAGTAAATTTCAATGTTATTTTGTCAAATGCTAAATTACCACTTTTTTTGAGTGTGTCCGCAATGGCAGAAAAGTTTGCAGATGCTTTATATCATTCTTGAATATCGCTTAAGCGATGTGTTTTTTGTAGCGGATTCCATTGCATATAAATACCTTGTTATCTTCAAATTAGTTTCATTTACGTAATTTTCGTCTATATCTTGTTAGGCCTTTGCCGTTTCTTCAACATCTGACTAGAATTTTCCAAATGTAAATGATCTTTGGCAAAACTTTAGTTTTATACCCAAATTACGTGCTTTTCCTAACCCTTATGAATAAATTATATGCTTTATTTTGAGCGAATTCAAATCACTCGCTACTCTGTTCAACTTCCTTTGATTTGTAGTGCGGTAAACATTCTGTACGTTTACGCTACTGTTTTTATGAACCATGAACATGGGAAAAAATGCAAATTTTCTCAATATCATTTTCTCTGATTTTGTTGATTTCATGATTATTACCTGACAAAACGTCACAGAAGTGAACCTCTAAATTATTTTCTGATGGCATGAGAAATGACGAATTCATCAGTACAAACAATCATTATTTCGACTTCTCTGCTCAGTCCAGGCGAAGCATATTGGAGCTCAAACGGAGAAAAATCAACTGGGACAGCCAATGGTCAATAAGTTGCTAGTTTTGATAATGAAGCCGAAATAACTATCAGCACATGCAAGTTCCATCATTTCAAAAGTTGGAAATGCTAGCGATGTTTTGCAAAGTACGTAGTAATGTCTTTCACCGTATTTTTTGCCATATACTAGAATGCTTTTGATAGCAAGATCCGAATTAAGGTTAGAAATATACTGTTTTACAGCCTTGTATCTTGGTAAGCTAGTGTCAAATTGGCTTTGATTGATGATTCTTTTTTTTGCTTTGATAACGGTTTGTACGTCGTAGGACATTGTCTACTCATGTAAGTAGGAGCTACCGAATTATAGTTAGCACATTCCGTATGATGAATAATATTCCCTTAAAACATATCATGATTTTGTATCCATTATGCAGCGTTTCCTTCATTCTTTTGTAGGTGATGCTATCTTCGCTGGAGGTGGTACGAAGAAGGAAAGAGAAGATGAGCATTACGAAAATGACGTCATTGTGATAACGAATAGATTTCCAAAAGAGCTAAATTTCTTCTGTAATCCAAGGTAAATTTGAGGCCAGACTTTTCCATTACAACCTCTCTACAGATGGAGCCCTGCCCGCAGACTAGTACGTAAACAACATCATCCTATCATCATACCCTATAATAAAGCGCAGGGGGGACCATCGCACGTCAACAACCAGCAAGAATGTTTGCCCAGATCTTTGTCTTAACTTTTGCACTTTCGCTCGCTTCCATACTGTTTACCGTTGCGATTCGAAACAGTCGCATAAGGGCAACCTAATGACGTCATCGTATTTTGCGCTAACTTGGCTTTCTCGATATGCGTTGAAATCAAGCTATTGAACACAACACCATAAAACTCCTCCTCACCCGACTCCTCAGTTCACATCAAGCGTAATTGTAAGGTCTGATGCTTTTCGAAAGTCTTTAATTTTATTCATTTGACATCTCAAGACTGTGTGAACTTTCCAAATTGCTAACCACTAAGTGATAAGAAACATGGTGATGCGAACTGTCTTGAAACTACGCTGGATGCAAAAAGCTCACTTGGCAACTAAATCGTAGGTTCAGAGGACTGCATCTTAGAATTTCTGATTTCTCAAAAGACCGAAAAGTTCAGAAATACTCTGAAAAACGTCACTGCGATCGTAATAGAATTTTAGAGCTACATGCTGTCTGTTTGCTGTCAGTGTAAAAAAGGTGAGAAAGGGCTTCACTAACCATCAACTCAACCCTTGCTAACCTCAGGAACATGTACTTTTTGGCGCAATTTTGTCAAAACATTGCACAGCCCCAGAATCGTATAAACACTGAAGATTTGCTTGGATGAATAGCTGAATCTGGAGTTGAACTTTAATTATAGCTCTCTTTATAGAAATCAAGTCAGTAGCCTATCAAGATAAGTTGGAAATTGGGGTGAACTGTGGAGCTGGGTGGAAAAGCATAGATGTTGAACAATTTGGATAGCCCATATAGAACGCTAACGGGATTTGACACTAAGATCCTTGAATTGGAAAGAATTTGTGCACGCTTCCAACAGAGCATATTTTGTGAAGAGGATGGGATGCTGTTTGATTTCAAAAATTCTATATTATAAGTTGGAATGTTAGTTAGAGTCGCGGCGATGTTCGACAGTGTTCCCGGGCCCTTTCATGACCGGAAACGTCGCTTATCTCGCCCCAGTTTTTCATACGAGCCCAAGAGATTTAATGGAGAGTGAAGTGTTGTGAAGTGTTGGGGCAGTTCGCAGGACAGTCGATGAGGAGGGGAGGGCCGCTCAAAACAGTCGATAGATTGTACATAGTTGGAGGTTGCCGAGCCCAACATAACCACCCTTAGCAAACCGCAGACATGAAGCGGAATCTTGAGGGCAGCGCATCATGTCAATTTTGGCCTGATTCGGGGGACAGACTGTAAAGGGTGAGTCAAGACTTGAAAGGACTAAGTAAGATCTGAAGGATGTGAGAGTGCGAGAAAAGAATGGTAGTTTGAAAAGTTTCATAAGGGAAGCTTTTGGGTGAAAAGGAATTGAGGGAAAGTGGGATGCATTTTGGCTCGAAGAACTCAGGGAGGGCAGCAAAGCACAAGTTTGCAAAGTACAAGAGCATACATACCTGGGAAGCTGGGAGAAAACGGTAAATAATCTATTGGCACTTTTGTTAGTACTTATGAAACCACATAAAGCAGGAAACTTCTGACATATCTCTGTTAATCTCTGGGTTCGTTGAATGTCTGCGCAAGAAAAGGTTTCCACTTCCAACTTTGAAGTCACATCCCACTTCACACACACAGCCAGTCCGAAGCGCCGCGAAGCTGCGCTTTGGACTGGTACTATATATAAAGCGCAAGCACCCCCATCTGACGTCATCACTCGCGCCAGGGGTGTAAACAACCGTCCTTCGTTTTGTGCCGGTGCAAGAGTACCGAGCTGATGACTCACAAGCAGTGATGCCTGTCTTAGATGATGTTGATCAATTGGCATAATCAAAAATATGCAGTCAATAGACAAGCTGACTCTTCCGTATAGTTCGAGTCGTTTTACAATAGCGATTCGAATTCGATTGAATTGGAACAGGTAGTTCACAATTTTCCTTGAACCTCCATATTCCTTCAACATTACGACAAAAGATTGCAGATTCTTTTGTTCCTCAATAAATTTGGAAGAAGCACCCTATTGTAATGATGATTCAATAATATTCAGTTTGTTTGAGAACCTCGGATAAGTTCGCACAGAAAACTGCATCGAATCGGTTTTTAGAAAAAACCTTTGAATTGAGCACGACCTCTTTAAGACTTCCAACAAATGATTACCATTCTTCTGTTCTAACAAGTGCGGCCAAAATCGTTGTTAGAAGATCGATTTTGTTTTTTTGACATCTCAAGCTTCTCTATTTCTACTCTGGAGCATCTAATTTCGAGTGCACCATAAGTTTTCAATATGTCTTTTCTGCTAACATATCTTAGCAAAAAGGTTTGAATTTTTCGAATTCTTTCATGAAATGCTTAGCAAATATTTTTATCTCATTGTCAGATAAATTGCACTAGATCTGTTTCTGGATTTTTCTCGCAGATACTTTTACTTGCCTCGGACAATCTGTACCTATGATTCATTTCAAATGAGCACTTCGTTTGAAATGTTTATGTCATTCAAAAAAATTCCAAGGTATTTCAGCATAACATTGCAGTCTTTCGAATTTCAAGTGCTTTACTTCTCACAGATGTCGATGCTGATCCACTCTCGAAAGCAACTTCATTCTGTGTTTCTAGCAGTAATTTGAGCATAGTTTTGATCGTGCAACACTTTGTTGGACAACGCAACACTGAATTTCCTAGGAAACATTATTGACTCTGTGCAAGAGATCAGTGATTGATACAAATTCTTGAATCAAATGTTTAGCACCTGTGCAATTGTAATATGCCATTCAAAAAATATTAAACATCGTTCATTCTGCAAATGTCTACTACTCAAAACGTGCCAAAGAGTGCATTTCAGACTAACGTATTTTTTACTGTGCGCCTCAAAGGGCTACAAAAAATTTGCGCTTTTCGGAAATCTTACATGATTTTGTGCTGTTTTTGTGAATATCTTTCCTACAATTGATGTACGAAAATTCTGCTCAAAGATTTCTGCTAAAAAAAGCTCTAAACAATCTAGCCAGAATCACAACTTTTTAGGCGTCATATGCTCTAAAATGTGAATAACCGCAAATTTGTATAAGGAGCGGAGATTTTGGGTGAGCAGCTAAAAGATAACACCTTTGAGTAGGTCCTCCCAAGAATTTGAAACAATAGCTTCCTAGAACAATATAACCTGGAATTTGATGAATTTTGGAGCACCTATGGATGAATTACAAGGATGCTGGACAGTATGGAAGCCCTTATGAGACGTGATCGAGAGATTTGTCATAAAATTTCTTGAAGTGAAAGAGGAACTGTGACGAGAACTTTTGGGGGAGAGGAGGGTTCTAAGACAGCTTGGGAAGTCGCTCAGTGTGGAAGCAGGGACCCGGATGGGAAGAATGCACGTGGCATAAAACTTTGTTGGGTAGACAGGCACTTGCCTCTAAAAAGAAGTTGAGGGTGGAGGTGGGGGGGGGGGGGGGAATTCTCCAAGTGCCCGGATAGCAAAACGCAACGAGTATGTGTGAAGCAAAGGGAGGAGGGCGGCTAGCAAAAGCTTGGAGGGAGCAATCATAATTCTGTTGCCACTTTTGACAAGAAAGTCCTCGAAATTTGAAGGCAGGAAAGATCCACGAATTTGGTAACTTCTGGGTTTCCTAGGAAACATTATTGACTCTGTGCAAGAGATCAGTGATTGATACAAATTCTTGAATCAAATGTTTAGCACCTGTGAAATTGTAATATGCCATTCAAAAAATATTAAACATCGTTCATTCTGCAAATGTCTACTACTCAAAACGTGCCAAAGAGTGCATTTCAGACTAACGTATTTTTTACTGTGCGCCTCAAAGGGCTACAAAAAATTTGCGCTTTTCGGAAATCTTACATGATTTTGTGCTGTTTTTGTGAATATCTTTCCTACAATTGATGAACGAAAATTCTGCTCAAAGATTTCTGCTAAAAAAAGCTCTAAACAATCTAGCCAGAATCACAACTTTTTAGGCGTCATATGCTCTAAAATGTGAATAACCGCAAATTTGTATAAGGAGCGGAGATTTTGGGTGAGCAGCTAAAAGATAACACCTTTGAGTAGGTCCTCCCAAGAATTTGAAACAATAGCTTCCTAGAACAATATAACCTGGAATTTGATGAATTTTGGAGCACCTATGGATGAATTACAAGGATGCTGGACAGTATGGAAGCCCTTATGAGACGTGATGGAGAGATTTGTCATAAAATTTCTTGAAGTGAAAGAGGAACTGTGACGAGAACTTTTGGGGGAGAGGAGGGTTCTAAGACAGCTTGGGAAGTCGCTCAGTGTGGAAGCAGGGACCCGGATGGGAAGAATGCACGTGGCATAAAACTTTGTTGGGTAGACAGGCACTTGCCTCTAAAAAGAAGTTGAGGGTGGAGGTGGGGGGGGGGGAATTCTCCAAGTGCCCGGATAGCAAAACGCAACGAGTATGTGTGAAGCAAAGGGAGGAGGGCGGCTAGCAAAAGCTTGGAGGGAGCAATCATAATTCTGTTGCCACTTTTGACAAGAAAGTCCTCGAAATTTGAAGGCAGGAAAGATCCACGAATTTGGTAACTTCTGGGGTTGTTACGTTTTCAAATCTGTGCCATACTTTTCATTACAAATTTTTGAAAGTTGTAACTTTTAGCCACAACCCACTTCACACACACAGCCAGTCCAAAGCGCCGCGAAGCGGCGCTTTGGACTGGTATTATACATAAACAGATCGTCCTTGAAGGCAGTGTCCGGGCAGAAACTCGATTTTGAGATTTTGTGCTTACTTGGGCCTATTCGCTACGCTGAATCCGAAAATGCACATTGTAGAGCGCGAAAATGGCGAAAAACGGCTCTAACACAGGAGGGAAATGAGCAGATGGGCTGGGTCCTTCCCACTGCGAATTCACGTTCCCGCCTTCCGGAGCGACCTCCTTCTCGCTTCCGGTTTCAAGTCAATCATTCGCACTTGGCCGGTGGTAATGTCAGGGGGGTTAGCGGAATCGAGAAGATCGCTCCGGAAGCTGGGAGCGTGAAATCGCATAGGACGCGCCCACCTGCTGATTTCCCTTTTGTGTTAGAGCCCTTTTTCGCCGTTTTCGCGCTTTCCAATGTGGATTTTCGGATTCAGCATGGCGAATAGGCCCGTATAAGCACAAAATCTCAAGATCGAGTTTTTGCCCGGACACTGCCTTTGACACTATCCTTATGTTCACACAAAATATGATGATGAGATTTTGGAGCTATATAACAGCGGAACCACGAACTAGGCAATCGCCCAAGTTCCGCTGCAGGAAATGAATTCCGAAGCAAGAGAAGCTGTTCAGAAGCTAGATGGGATTCAGATGACTCCGCCCATGAACGTGGTTGGTCAGAAGATAACAAGTCCAAAATTACTTTTATGTATCCAGGATTATCATGGATCCGCACTATATCAAAATTAGCATGTTTCGGACATTTCCATCTATCATGAAGGCCGCTTTTAGCTTCTGGGTTGGGTTTCTTGGTTAGAAATTCATCTTTTGTGGCAGGACTTGGGAGGAACTTATTGTTATTCAAAGAACACACTATCATATAGCATCAAATCACATCAAAATCAATTTGAGTGGACGGTGCCATTGACTTAAAGCATCATTCTGCAGACATGAGCTAATGCGAGATCACCTTTGTTACGGTCATGTTGATGCCTATGCCTTAGCCTGTGCTGAAGACACTCCACCGATGCATCTCGTACCGTTCTGCCTCGCGTTCAAAGTAAATTCCTTAACAAGGCATTTATCCAAGAAATTCTTCTTATTTTGTTCAGCGACATTGCTCCCTTGTAAACTATCCAGCCGATGACTGGTGCTCTCGCGAATTCGACCGCTATGAGGGCTACTGCACATCGGCCAAAAGGCAGAAATGCAAATCGTGTTCCTACGATCTCACTTGTTATTGTGAGCCATACGAATGTTTGTGGAAAAGGTGAGTTCAAGATTTTTCTGTGATAAAATTAGTAATTCGAACAAGGAGGTGATCAATCCACTCAACAGTTCTCGATCAGAGCTCGGCACGGGTGGCTTGCAACCAAGCTGAATATCGTTTTTGGGACAAACAGCAAAGGAGTCGTTTTTGAGGCCGAAAAGACACAAAAGCTGTGAATTTTTCAGTCGAAATTTCGTTTCTCAAGGGTTTTTTACGTTTAGGGTTTAGGATAAAAGGGGATTTCGTTAAAATTCGCCAAAGTCAAGGGGACTTCGTTTTTTTTGCATTTTGCAAAAGCCACCTCGTGCTGAGAATCATGATTGAGGAAAAGCAACTACAAGATTTCTACAAGAAATAGATTTTGAGTGAGCGAATCTGATGTTGATGCCTGACTAAAACTCAGATTTTAGAATTCTATTGGAAGGTCGTTTTTCCAATTCAGCAAAGTTTCTTTTTTAAACACGCCATCCAAAAAAAAAAGCAGATGCATCGCAGCACAAGTCGTGCTCGCAAAAATATTCTTTGCAAAACTGTGGCTATCTTGTCAAACTATCACAGAGTTTAGTAATGATTCTACCGTTTGGATCCGGTGTCATCGCATCTGCTCGAAGATGGTGCATTTTAAAATCCCGATTCTTCAAATAATCAACGCTATAATCTTTAGTGTCATGTTTCATAATGAAATTAATCTAGCTGGAATAGATGAGGAAACAAGTATGAGTTCTCATTAACCATTTTCCTTTTCGAACACTGCACCTAGACATGGCTTCAACACAGCCGTATGGTGCCAGAGGTACGAACTATTTTGCAATAAAAAAGCGAGAAGAGAAAAGGCAGCTGAATTGGTGAGCCTGATGCGGGATGCGATCAAGATCCATTACAGGTGCTAAATATTTGCTTTCATCTTTTTAACTATAAAAGAAACCTTGCAAAAGATCTCTTTTGATCTTGGCTTGTGATATTATTTTCTTTTGAAATGCAGAAAGTTCCTTATAGATGCATGCACCTGTTCAATTTACCCAAAGTGATTTGTGATCCGTTTCGAAGGCAATTTGACTACAATCGATGTATGAAGGTACGAGATATACTTATTCTTCTGAGTGCTATGATAAAGATACTTTGTGAGTACTGCAGTCAAACTATATAATTCTTCTAACAAGGGAAGGGTACTAAATCGCAGTGACGATTGAGTAAGCGGTGTATACCGCGTATACCGTCCACAGACGGTGATCTCTGAACCGCACTCCTTATCTGCTATGACGTCATTCTGGAAAAGCTATGAAGGATTTTTCAAAACGCAAAACTAGGGCATCCGAGGGAATTGAACCCATGACATCTACCTCAAAGTCCAAGCCACTATCCACTGTACCAGTCGACCGACCACTGGAGTTGTGAGTGCAGGTCTCGTACTTGAATGCGCCTGCAGCACCAAAAATCCTTTATAGCTCTTCCAAAAGGACGTCATAGCAGGTATGGAGTACGTTTTAGAGATCACCGTCTGGGGACGGTATATGCGGTATACACCGCTTACCCAATCGTCACTGCGATCGCGTATCCTTCCCTTGTAAGAACTATAATAAGTACAAGTGATTTTATGTGGCCGCAAGTTTTATTTTCTGCTCTATAAACTTCATAACTTCTCGCACAAAAATGGTTCGCAGATAAGGATGACAGAATTGGAATCAGCGTTCAGTGCTCTCTAAAATGGTATACATTGAGTCTTGAAGGGCCACTTCGACTTAAACACCCTTCCCTTGTAAGAAAGAATTGATACGAATGATATATCATCTTATATATAAAGCTGAATGTCTGTCTGTCTGTCTGTCTGTATGTATGTCTGTACGTATGTGCGGAATAGAAATTTTTATTTCTGAACCGACCGGGACCAAACTTGGCACACATATACTTCGGGGCAGGGAGCGTGTCATAGGCTACTTTTCGTTATCGATCGATATCGATTTTTTTGCTGAGTTCACCTACGGGGCCGGGAGTTGGCACAGGGGGGTAATCGAGCATGGGGATTCCGAATACAATATTGGTTTTCAGGATTATCGATTACTTTTATCGATTTTATCGATTTTTTTGCAAAGTTTGAGCTAGGGGGCTGGGAGTTGGCACAGGGGGGGGGGTAATCGAGCATGCTGATCACCCCCAAGGGGGGTGATCAGCATGCTCGATTACACCCCTGTGCCAAATTCCAGCCCCCTAGCTCAAATTTTCAAAAAATCGATAAATTCGATAAAAGTAATGGACGATCCTGAAAACTAATATTGTATTCGTAATCTGCATGCTCGATTACCCCCCTGTGCAAACTCCCAGCCCTGCAGGTCAAACTTTACAAAAAAAAAATCGATAAAATCGATAAAAGTAATGGACGATCCTGAAAACTAATATTGTGTTCGTAATCAGCATGCTCGATTCCCCCTGTGCAAAATCCCAGCCTCGCATGTCAAAATTTACAAAAAATCGATAAAATCAATAAAAGTAATCGATAATTCTGAAAACTAATATTGTATTCGGAATCCCCATGCTCACTTCCCCCCCTGTGCCAACTCCTAGCCCTGTAGGTGAACTCTGCAAAAAAATCGATAAAAATCGGTAAAATCGACATCGATCGATAACGAAAAGTGGAGTATGACACGCTCCCTGCCCCGAAGTGTATGTGTGCAAAGTTTGGCCCCGTGCGAAGCCGGGTACGCCAGCTAGTTACCTTTATGGCGACTACCAAGGCATGACAAATCCAAAAACCTATTCGAATTTGCGTTTGTCTTCCTGCGAAAACTTTCATCCACGCGAAATCACCGATCTCACGTGAAAAGACTGTCTAAATGAGTGGTTGTTTACATTTTATTCGTGGTAGTCGGCATAACGCGGTGAGTTCCAGTGCCACGATTTTACGAGAATGAGTAAGGCACATAGATAGTAGAGCCAGCGCGAGCCTCTGCGAAGCAGAGGTGACGCACTGGTATATTTTATAAATGACCAGTGCGTCACCTCTGCTTCGCAGAGGCTCGCACTGGCCCTATTTTCTGTATGCCTTACTCATTCCCGCATAATAATGACATTGAAACTCACCGCGCTATGTAGGCTATCACGAATAATTCGTAAACAACTACTCATTCGTAGACGTCTTCCATGTGGGATCGGTATTTTCGCGTGGATAAAATCTTTCCCAGAAGAACAGATGCAAATTCGAATAGGTTTTTGGAATTTTTATGGCTTGACAGTCGCCGTAAGGACAATAAACATAGTGGGCTACATCTCTGTGCAAAAATCTTCTCAAATGATCAGGTAAAATCTTGAAAAATTGACCGTTTACACAGCGAATGCTTTTTGGCGCTGTTTTCGTAAAGTAGTAGGCTTTTCATTACTTTTTTAGGCTAACGTCCATTTCTTGCACAATAGCATGCCAAATATATCCTTAACTCTGCAAACAGTAGTACTACGGACCCAAATTTGCTGGCCAGAAGCCAAGTGGATCCGTTTGACGCGCAATTTTCAATGGATCCACTAACGGATCCGCTCATGCTTTCGCATAGTGAGCTTTCATGCTGGTAGCGTGCGCTGTGCAAAATTTGGGCTCAGAACGTTGGCTGGAACACGCTCTACGAATTTCGTGACAGACAGAGATTCACACACACACACACACACACACACACACACACACACACACACACACACACACACACACACACACACACACACACACACACACACACACACACACACACACACACACACACACACACACACACACACACACACACACACACACACACACACACACACACACACACACACACACACACACACACACACACACACACACACACACACACACACACACACACACACACACACACACACACACACACACACACACACACACACACACACACACACACACACACACACACACACACACACACACACACACACACACACACACACACACACACACACACACACACACACACACACACACACACACACACACACACACACACACACACACACACACACACACACACACACACACACACACACACACACACACACACACACACACACACACACACACACACACACACACACACACACACACACACACACACACACACACACACACACACACACACACACACACACACACACACACACACACACACACACACACACACACACACACACACACACACACACACACACACACACACACACACACACACACACACACACACACACACACACACACACACACACACACACACACACACACACACACACACACACACACACACACACACACACACACACACACACACACACACACACACACACACACACACACACACACACACACACACACACACACACACACACACACACACACACACACACACACACACACACACGTAAACAACCCTTAGCCCGTTATTATAAGTTATGATAGAGGTAGGAGTACTTGTTGCAGTTTCTCTTCGATTGCGAGCTAATATCCGAATGGGATAGTGAAGACGAATTAGCTGGAAAAGCACCGAAGGCCAGCGAAGAGGCAGAAAAAGAAGGTTGCTCGAATTTTTCCGAAGTTGTAACCTATAAATAGCATTCCAGTCGTGGGAGAACCAATGAAGACCCTAAGACCAACACCTGAAGATGCCAGCTTATCAGCCAAGGTTATGCAAGAAGAATTGGAACTGGAACAATTGTTGAAAGAGAAGGAAAAGATGTCTACAGTAAGAAATTTGGAATTTTTATCAGTACTGTGCTCAAATTTCATCTACTTTAGAAAAATGAACTCGTTGCTCCACCCAAGATTGCACTGCCCGCCCTCACCGGCGCAGCTGTTAAAACTAATGAAGCCATTTCGCCAGCAATCCCTGAACCTGCTTCTGCAATTATTACGGTAAGTGACTGTAACTTAATATGTGAGTCTGCGCACTTTGCGCGGTAACTGATGACTCCCTCACTAGTAACTTCTCAGCAAAACCTTTTCTAGCATGACAGCAGCAAAACTGTTTACTGCTAATTAATACATATCAAATCAAAAGACACAAGGATACAAGGAGAAATTATTTGAAATGAGCAAGTTGTGGTCTTACAGGTCGTCTAGTAGCGAGCACGTTGTGCACGCATATTGCTTTGTAAATGATTCGGCGATAAGTCTACTTGTGCACCTATTGTCTTACTGTAACTTCCTTTTAGAAACCTGATCTGGTTGGTTCACCGAATATTGCTGGGCCTGGTAAAGGTGCGACTGTAGTAGCCGATAGAACCTCTATATCAAAAATTGCCGACCCTGCTCCTATAGCGTCATTGGTGAGTTCTTTTGCCTATATCTTAGGCCTTATCTAATCTTGCTATTTACAGAAAACCGACCAAACTGGTCCAGAAGCGATAGCTAAGCCTTCTCTCGGTGCCACAGTCCTCAGTAATAAACCTGCTCCATCCGCGAATATGCAGTCTGCTCCAGATTCAATGGTGGGTACAACTTTTTTTCTAAGTTTTAGGGTGCGTTTAGAGTTGTCCGTTCTGGCGGCGTTCAAGCGAACTTGCCGGCAGACTCCGTGGGTGCTGCCGAAGAGGTGACACTGGCACGGCGCTAGAACGGCGCTGGCACAGAGAAAACCTGGACGCAGCCTTACGTTGCCTAATGCTGTTTCATCTCAGAAAACAAACCTGAACTCTTCATCAAAGATCGCCGAGCCGGCTTCGGCAGGTGCGATCCTTGCCACGAACGCATCCTCACCCGTTAACATCAATTCTGCTCTCGGAGGTGCACCCGCTGCCACCAACAGATCCCGAATTACAACTACCGAGCAGAAGGATATGACATTGACTCCATCGAATTTTCACCCCTTTTCTGCTGTTCGTCTTCCTACCGTAAAGCCTTGAATTTTCGATATGATCTGTTTGTGGTGTCATTACAAAGAACGATGGAACAAGACGTTCGTGGGCGGATATTCATCTTCTTGAGCGATGATTATTTATTTTGACTTCATGGATGTCAGTAAATTAGGTGCTGGGCGCTTCCTAAAATTTCAGCTAAAAGAGATGTTCAAAAGGGGTTTAGGATGCCTTTCATGTGCCTCGCTATACTCTGTAGCATTCCAAAAACCGCATCGTACGAAAGGATAGCGTTGTGCAAGCATATTGCATAGTGCTGATCATGTGGTTCAAAAGAAACGGGCCACCTGTGCTGCAGCATGTTCCAGACGTTGAATGAAAAAAAAACGATTGGAGTGGGTCTCATCTGTTTCAGTAACATATAGATAATTGTTCCAGTCGAGTTTCCTATTTTATTTTCAAAATATTTACTCACAACAAATTATGCTCGCCACTTTCTAGATTAACGTGTTTACTCGGATATCCTTCAAGTGTTTGCAAGAATGGAAACGATTATTCTAAAATATACCGAAAGTTATGGTCTGTTCTTGCATCGAATAAAAGTAAAAATAAACCGACTTCTAAATATTTGTACAGCTGCGTGAAATAACTTTAGTTGCATTTTTAGCTTGAATGTAAATTGGAGACGATTTGAGTATAGTGCTATGTAACTTTATATAACTATGACAAAAAGATTCTAGATTATACAGATTATTTAGCCACTTAGTAGAGGTTAGTTCACAACAGTTGACCTGACGGCCTCAGTTGTTTTAAGGTAAACTTACGAGCGGCCATTCATTAATGCCTATGAGAATGTGCAACGTGACTTAACAGTGAGCTCCGGGAAGGTAGCGCGCTAATCTCACCTGACTTCTGTAACAGCAATATCCGTTTGAGATGACCCTACGGAAATAGTGTGCAGACGATGAAACTCAGCGAAGAATTGCAAGTGCTAGTGAGTTGCTTACGGAACACGTAATGTTACATAATACTGCGGACAAACTCAGCGTGAAACTGCTTATTTTTGGGTGTCTAGAACAAGAAAGGATCATCGAAAGGCTAATTGCAGCAAGGATGGAAAATATTTTTCTCTACTTTTTCGATTTTTCGACTACGATTTTTTTCTTTACTTGAAGAAGAAGAAATTTCCCTCAAATCTTCATTTTTCTAACCATTACTCAGAATGGAAAATCATTCCTCACTGTAAAAAAATCGTGACTATTGAAAATCAATGCTAAAATATCGCAATTTCGTCTATTTCTCCGTTTGCTAGGCAAAACTTCAATGGCGGATCACCAATTTTTTGGTGACGGCAGCTATCAAATCCGACCGATGATAGCAAAATAATAGCAGGTTTCATACCATGCCCTGCTGGTCAAATCGCAGCTCTTTATCCATTTGGCCAACAAAATTCTAAGAAGCATATCAGAAATTTTTTCGGAGTGCGTAGCTAACGCCTCGCACCTTCATCAGAAGAAAATTTTTGTAGCGCCCCCTCGCCCCAACCGATAGCAATTTTCTAAAACTATGTTCCAAAATGGTTTTTTGATGCCAGGAACGCTTGCAGATTGAGCAGTCGTTATGATTTACAAATTATTAGGCCACTCCAAAAGTTCGTTTGTTTTTTTTTCAATAGGACGCCACATTTGATGGAAACAAATTTTTGCAAGAGATCTTAGCAGCGTTCGATGCAGCATTTCATCCTCTTTCTAATGGTTATGAAAACGTTGCAGCAAAGTCAATGAGCTCTAGAGAAATCACCAAAAACTGTAACCTATGCTTTTTGAGATGGTAAAGTTTCACAGTTTTTCTAAACTTTTATATCAAAATTCCGAAATCCAAGCAGTGTGTCTATAGAGCAAACCATACAGGATGCAAAACAATTTTTCTCCTTTCCACACCTTGTCATACTTTTATAATAGAATTTTGACTGATGCTACAAATTTCCGTACATGGTCAACTAATACCTCGTAGAACAACAAAGGGGAGCAACTCAGGCTGTTCGATGCGGCGTTTTCTCCTGTTTCTAGAGGATAGTCTTCGGGAATAAAATCACCATAACACATGCTTTTGAACGCGCCCCAAGCTGTACCTGAAAAACTCGAAATTTGATAGTTCAAATTAGTAAACACTGATTTGCTCCGTAAAGTTGCCAAAGTTGCCATATTGGAATAGAAACTCCGAAGAATCATTGGTGTTAGTGCGATTGTGGCTGACGTAAGCGTGCCAAAATTTGACGATTTTTAGCAAATCTTTAGAGGAATTTGGCGAGCTATGGATAAGAGAAAAAATGTACTATATTCCAAAAGGTTCGCTCTATCATATCTATAGAAAAAAGCGAACGAACTTTTGGATTGACCTTATATTACACTTCGCGAACAAGCATTACCTTTTTCTTCGCAAAGTAACCTTAATGGACTTAGATTCTGCGAATGCGAAGATTTTCTATTTCCTCACATTGTTTGTATGAGATTAGACCTCACCCTATGCATGCTTTTTTCTCATCTATCCATCAATTACAAATATCTCATATTCTTTGCATTAGGACACCGGTGGAGCTAGAAATTAAATATGTAGGATTGGTTTTGCAGAAAATACGTACATGCGCACTTTTTTACTCTCCGATTCAAACTCTCTACTGTTCTTGCGAATTTTGTGAGTCGTGCTACGTTATATGTAGCTGCTCGCCTCGTCCAGGGATGTTCCGCAGTAACGAAGATGTATTCGGGATCAGTACCTTGACAAGTTTGTGCTTTTAAAATGCCGCTATGTTCTCTTCGCTACCCTTTTGGAGATGTTTGCTAAGATAAACTTATGCACGACCCGCAATCATAGAGGAAATTTCTACTATGCCCAATAACTTTGGTATTTTATGATTTGAAACTGCGCAATAATGTGTGCCTCCGTTCTCTTCTTTTATGCGTCCTGTGTGCAAGTGATTTCTGATCGAAATGATCACGTAGTAGTCATACCAGCTATAAGTGGTTGATAGAACATTAGCGCGCGTATGCCAACTGCGAAACGATTTCCTGGAGATGTTATAAGCATTTCCGGTTAGGTAGCGTCCCATTCATAGACTGGAAGATCTGTAGTTTATCTTCGTAGCTCATACTCACTGCTACTAATATTTCCTCACAAAGTTTATGAAAAGATTATCTTGGCACCATTGCACCTTTGCCTTTTCAGGAAGTTATTTACAAATATCTAAACAAATCTGTAAGGTCGCTTTTACCTCCATTGTTTATTCTGTATATCCTTCTAGAGGAGCTATTATTCTTTCCTTTGTAATTAATGTCAAGGAGCATCAGCGGTAATGGGAATGAATGCACTTTAGAACTCAAAGATATCCAATCACTCAAGTTGGAAATTTCCAAACTAATTTGAAAGGATTCCTAGAATAATCGACACTTAGATTTTGTTTATGCACCATGTTAGGAAAATGAGGAAAAAATCTTAAGGGAATTCATTAGAAAAGTTTTCATTTCACATGCAACAAAACTTATGCTGCGACCTAATACCACTTTTTTCCACCACTGCAGTCCGGAAAGAGATGTTCATTACTTTCGCAAAAAAATTTCACCAGCGTGTCTGCATTCCCAGGTTATCGTAAATAGTTGTTACATCACATCAATGCGATGCGTAGCGCAAGACATATTACAAGAACTTTTTATTAAATTCCAAGCTTGGAAAAATTACAGCAAGTGCACGAATGTTACCATGTGTTTATTATAGGAAAGATAACCAACTAGGAAAATCGTAGGTTTTCCCGGACGGAGATCCGATTTTTGGACCGGCCAAATGCTCATAGATTTTGGCTTCAGACCATAGGTGCGATAGGGGGAGCAGGGCTCTCCCCAGGTGAAGGGGGTCTCGGCTGTTCCCGACCTTCCAGGGTGAAGGGGTATGTGAGTTAGTGGGGGGGGGGGGAGGAAGAGAGAAAAGGTAAAAAAGCGTGGTATGAAAAGCTCTAATTTGTACCTTATTTAGGTCATGCTTGCATGGGGTGGAATAAGGAGGACGCGTTACAAATTTATCTGAACAAACTTTGACATGTGTTAGCAATAGGTTGCGCCAATGTATCTTACATAAGTGAAGTTTGAATATTGTGATTTTATGAAAATCTGTGCTCCTGTTTCGTTGAACCAACAAAAAACGAAAGCAATAAGGTTTATCCCAAAAGATGTACAAGTTAGGAACAACTTACAATTCCTGCACATCATCATCAATAATATCACTATCGCTAACGTCAGAGACAACAAGTTCGCTGCCTGAAAGATCTTCTTCTTCCTCCAAAAGGTCATCGGAGTAGAAGTAGAATTGTGTGAAAAAGCGTTCTGAGTCGAAAATGGATTTAAAACGTTCTTCTTCTTCTAAGCGCTTCCTCTGGTAGCACCAGGAAAATCAGCAGGTAGGTGACCAGTTTCTTCGTACCATCTTTTAGGATATTTCAAAAAGTCGTACGGTGACAGCCTGTCTGGACCACTTATAGCAATCCTTTAAATGAAGTTATTAGATAACAATACGTTTAGTAGAAGGTTGACAAACCTTGAGTAATTGCTTAGATGCTCCAGCGTTGTGCTACTTCTGCGTTGTGTTCTGATAACAGAGTAGATAGAAAATCCTCTCTCCACTTCTGCCACGCTAGTCGAAATGGAAACTAGCTTTGCTAGTAAGTCCATCAGATTTTTGCGGTAAGTAATGGGGAAAGAACCAGATCGTATATGCTTTCGCAACACGGGAAGGAAGTATTGCATACTTTTTTGGGCCTTGTCGAACTTTAACTTCACCTTATCTGGCATACGTCGTGTTAGCTGATTAGCTGATAAGAAAGCTGCTCAACTTCTTCTTCAACAGCATCTGCGGAATAGCCGAAAAAAGTAGATACTATGCTGTGCGTTGTTTTTTTTCGATATCATAGGTCATAATGTCACAAGGCGAAAAACTTCCAACGGCATAAAGTATAGAGTTGGGTTCGTACTCCAGTCGAGATCTAAGAGCAGTAGCTATGC